CTTCTGTCATACCTGCTCAATGAATTCTGCTTTCTTTTTTTCGAATAAGCTATTGTGATAGGCCCAAAACTGTGAGCTCCACTGATTCAGTGCTTCACGCGCCTCACGATACTTCCTCTCCTGCTCTGTTTCATCAGCCAATCGCCGCAACCTCAAAAACTTCAGTTCTAATCAGCGGAAACAAAAAATACGTATCACAAACTCCAGTACATCAACCATTTCTATTATCCCAAGAAAAAGTAAAAAGGTACTTTACCTGTTTTTTTATTTTCCCTATTTCTTTGTTATCAAAACATAGGAGATGTTTTAGTTTTTGCAATTCTGGCATCTTTTTTTTTGAGAGAGGGTCCTCCTTCGTTAACACTTCTATGTTTTTCCCCAACTAAATTCACATTCACAGTCGCTGTACTGATGAGGACAAGTTGCAGTGCTGAGTTAAGATGTATCCACTTCAATGAACTGAAAAGCCTCACTTCAACATTTTTGTTTGTTCTCACACCTCTTCATCTTACCTGTACCCTTTCCCGTCTTTTTTCCCAGCATATTTACCTACAGTCACATTCAAGAGCTTAAAGATAGACATAAAGATATCTACACAAATATTCAAGAGCTTAAAGATACACGTACCTTATTGGTCTTATTTTTGATGTCTCATCCGGGGGCCCAACCCAATCAAATCGCTTATCCAAACGCAAGCTCCTGACTCGAGTTATTGTACGGCTTTCATCTTTCATTTGCTTTTCAGAATATCACCTGAAAGAAACTTCCTCAAATAACGTCGACTACCCAGAAGCGCCCATTTACTAAGAACAATAATCAAAATGACTTGCGCTGACTCGTTAAATGCAAATGTTGCAGTAAGCCACGGAATTAAGTGAGGTAACTCGAGTAACAACTATCACTCATTCGAAACTCCCTTTTTCCTCCTTTCATATCCGTCTTGCAAATTAGTCACATGATTGTTCAGCACATGGTGAGTAGGGATTGTACTGACGATTCCCACTCCTACCCGCACACACTGAGTTCGGTCTGTGTTTACAGCTAAGGGATGAAACACGGCCTCCCTGCCTTTTCTCGCCTCCTTCTCAGGCCCGCGCTCTTTACGCAATTACATATATCCTAAAAATCACGAGATCAACACCGCAAAAACAACAAAATAATACAACGAAAGCAGGATATTAATAGCAAAAACTAAATGAAAACTTTCGAAGCCTTCTGAACGATCGAAAATTTTATTCCATGAGATTTTACACAACGTTACATCAATGTGAGTATCAATTTGGCAGAAGCTCGGTACGAGGGCTCCTGAAGAGATCATTGCGCAACAACCTGAACATACGCTCATATTCCTGTAGATTATGTCTGCAAATAAGTAAAAAACGTTGCGTGGCTGTAGAAAAGGCAAAAAGTTAAAACGAAAAAGTAAGAAAAAGTCAATACACAATTTCGCAGTTCTCCGCTTTTTAATTTTTTTGTCTCGTTATATATTGTGCCGAAAATCGGTCACAATCACCTTTATCAATTTACGCGCAAAATCCTCAACCACTACCGAACTCACACCATTACACTGTATTCATTTAAAAGCTGTTTTCTGAGTACAAAACGCCCGCTTCAACAAAATTTATCGTTGATTAGATAGTCCCATTATGACTAGTGATAACAGTTTAAAAGCACAAAGCATAAAAAATTTAAAAAAAAATTAGATCTTTGCTTGAGTACACGATCAATCAGGTTTATGGCCCATTAAAAAAATTTAAAAAAGAGAATTCAAAACTAACATTATAAGCAGAGTTGGACCCAATAATTCTCTTGTATTTGTTAGATGCCGCAAATAGCTTTTCGTGTAATGTGTGCATGTGTAGCAATCGCAGTTCTTACAGAGAGGAGTAAAATCTTCCGCATAGCTGGAACAAGAAATGTGCTTTTCACACAGTAACTCAATTATGTCTCGATGATGAAAACAACTGCTTTAGAGAATTTTAGATTAAATTCACTGATCGATAGACCTACATGCTATCACTGAAATCCAGCACGCTGAAAGTCGGATCAAGTGGAAAATCGTCACTACAGATGAATGCCTTTCCTTGTTCACTGAGAAAAACAGCATAGGAGGAATCGAATAAATCCACGCCAATACGAGTTAAAGCCAGCACTTCTGTTGGTGAAAATGCTCCATTAGCAAGGCGCAGATGAGCAGGCGGTAAATGAGGCTAAAAAAACCCAGTTTACTTTAAGCTTTATTTAAAATTTAACAGTGAATCCTCTTCCTTCTTCGCTCATCCCTCCCCAATAGTCGTAGCTCATAACGTTCTCTTCCTTCTTTTTCAGCTTTCTTACGAATAAAATCTATCACTGCGCGCGAAAAAAATGTAAAAATTTACCATTATATTATCGTCCATCTAAATATTAATGCAAGAACTAATATCAAGCATTCGTTCTTACAGGCAGAGCGAAAATTGATTTGTTAAAGTTCTTTTTCTGAAAAATGAAGAATAGCAGTAACGGAAACTCACCCAAACGCCAGCTAGCAGAGTTCGGATAGCGTTTTCATCAAATTCGCTTTCCGTAACAACAGGATCCAAAGGCATCTTGCTTTGGGACGCCTCATCATCCGAGGAATCCGTTTGTCTGGTCTCACTTGTGCTTTCGCTGCTCGATTTCGACACTTTCAATACTTTTTTTTTCTTACCGAAGCCAAAACGATGGCGTTTCGCAAACTGCATAACATCCAAAACAAATCCGCAACAGTTAAGAGCTGGTCCAATTTCAGCGGCACATCGCTGGTGATGAAAAGGGCTGTGTCCACCGCACAGAGCAATCAACACGGCTCCCTACAATTTGTTATATTTTTAACAGAAACAGATTCAATTGACAAAACTTCAGAAAGTACACAGCAAATTTTCGAAAATTTCGAAATGCCAGATCCCTTACAAAGCTTCACTACAGCAACCAGTGCACACAAATCTGAATGGGTTTATTTCTAACAGTCGCAACAAAATAAATACGAATTATTTGAGGTAAAATAATTGGCCAACGCACCGAATGCCGATGCGTTTTTTGCACAGCTCCCCACAGGTATTTGCCGCTAATGGCACTATTTTTTCCAGCAGATGCTTCTGGCTAAAGAAATTGGGACTGGCTCTTCCGACTGTGAGGAAACATTCCTTTAAAATTTCAGTTTTTTCTGGCACCGAGTTAACAGCTTACTCGCTAAAAACTTTGAGGGGCCCGTATGTGGAGACCACGTGGGCAAAAGCGCCCATTGTGGGAATGGGGGCCCGTACATGTATGCAGATTAAGTTTCCAAATTTTCAGCATTGTAGCTTTTTTAGGTATCAGGATGAAAAATCGGTACAGACGAACACACAGACAACCCCTGGACAATATGAGTTTTTACATTGCACAGATGCAAAAAACGTACAAAAATGAGAAACTTGATCCTATAAAACGCTATTTGTAGTAGCACTTCCACACATATCTTGCTAGAACAGACCTAGCCTTTGCATTCAGCAAACAACAAGCCAAGCTTAATTCAACAACAGTTTTCTCCACAAACAAAAGCAAACCGAAGGTGAACTGTCGTGCAATAACTCTGTTGCAAATTTAACCGTTCTATCAACCGCCTTTGTTAAACGTTTATTTGAGCAGTCTGGCGGGGTACCGTAGTCAAACATAGTTTCGTAGGAAGACACGTGGCTGTACGACAAGAGTTTCTTTATCATTGCAACACTAATCTGAAAGTACACTCTACCTGCACAAGTCTGATGTATCGTATCGTTGAAGTGAGAAAAAAAACCAGGAAAATGCTGGTACCGAACTATTGATGGTTCTTTTTCGAATTTCTTTTTGAGCTCCTAGCAAACGTCTCGCATAAGAACGAAAAATGCAAAAAAACTCAATAAAGAAGTGAAAAAGAAGGCTAGATTCATTTGAGAGACAGAATTTAGCCAAAAACCCAAAAAAAAGTCAATTTAGAAGCATGAAAATGTGCGCTAAAAAGGAAAGCTTAAAAGCGTCACCCCAACTGAGAAGAACAGGGTATAGAAGAAATGACATGAGACTCGATTTCAGGTAAGGGTAACACGATTTTTACCAAAAAAGCAATTTGAAGAATGGTAAACAACCATGGATGGCGGGTTTCAAAACTGAAATGGGAAAATCTCTGCCAGAAACCGGACAGGACCAAATGGGGACATATTACAAAAAAAACCGTAAATGCGGTAAAAATGCCACGGTCAATTTCTGGAAATTTCTAGAGCTTGAAATCCGCAGAAACATTTCATCCTTTGTCCACATCAAAATTAAACCCCCCCCCCCTCTTGATATTTTATGGTAGTGGTACTCGAGGAATAATGCCAGCATTAACTAGCGCAGGCAAAGCAGCCAATAGCTTTCCTTTCGGGGTCTATTTAGAAGTAAGTTGCTGGCGATTTGACTTCTTGAAATGAGAAGCACCAATTTATCGTCAAAAAAAGAATAAAATAATTGAGCGCTCAAATTGAGATTTTTTAGGAATAGATTATTTTAGCACATTATTTTTAAAAAAAAAAATAAAATAATCCGCTAAAGTAATTTATTTCTGAAAAAACGGAAACTGAGCGCTGCTCATCAAAAAGACAGGAGTTAGCAATTGGCCTTGATAGATTAGGCAGAACATACACTCCGTCGTCCAGCTTTTGTCCATATTGCAATACTTCCGGCGTTATTGAATTGCATGCTTCGCTCTGATAACGGATCCGTCAGTGTCAAATGCGTTGGAACATTCTCCTGGGAAACACCCTAATTTAACATTTTTCGTAAAAGACAATTTTCAACAACCACAATTCGGTACAGAAACAGTTAGAAATGCTTACAGGCATAGCAGTGAATCGTGCAATTCCTTTTCCATATTTTTCAATCACTGGCAGTGCTTCGAATCTGAAAGATACAAGCTACCATTTCAAACTTGCTAAAAAGTGTGTCTTTTGATAGTGAGTAACTAAAAAATCAAAATTTTTGATAAGTATGCGGTCGAAACACAGTAAAATCCTTCCCGGTGTTTACTCGTCACAAGAGGTATGAGGCCAACATGCGCTCGCTCTGTTTCCACTCATTGTTATGGAGAAAAAAAAATTAATAATTAGCTAGCGCACCGACTGCCGGTACGAAGGTGCGTTTTTTGCACAGTTCTCCGTAGATTTTTGTCGCTAACGGCACTGTTTTTTCCGGCAGATGTTTCTAGCTAAAAGAATTGAAATTGGCCACCACGACTGTGAGGGGAAATCCCCTTAAAACTTCAGCTCGCTAGCTTTTCTAATCCCCGAGTTAACTTATCCGCCAAAATTTTAACGTAACCATGCGTGGGAACCATATGAATAAGAGGATAGAGACGCACATAAAGACAAGAACGGTAGAAACGCACATACACACATATAGACAACCCCTCGACAAAATACGTGTCGCATAGCATAGATGCAAAAAACGCGTAAAAACTGAACTAACAGAGAAGGGAGCGTGAGTTGGTAGATGGGTGGCTGCTGATGAACGAGGTATTTGGATGCCACATCCCATGTTAAGTGAGGTATATGTCCAGCACGTGTATACGTCATACATGACGGAGTGGCGTGCTCAATTTCGACGTCACCCCAGCGAAGTATCTTGCCGATTCTTCCATTCAACGTTCTGTGTTCCACAACAAATTTAACCATTACACAATTGAACTCTGCAAAAAAAAAGAACGCTTCGCACATCATCGCTTTATCGAGGCACCAAAGTAACCGATAATCAGCACCTGACCATTAAGAATCAGTTGTACCTCCTTATCCCAAGTAGCAGTCTTTCGCGCGACCTCGAAATCCTGACTAGCACCCTTGTTCCCCTGCTCTATCCTGTCTCAACGCGTACCTTGCCAATAAACACAACACGTCCTTTTCATGTCCTTTAACCTCAGCCTTCTAGAATCGGAAAGCCAAACATTCATTTAACTACCTTGGATATAGAATTCTATAGTCATGACAATGTTTCGGTCCGAGCGATACAGCTGAATGTTTTCGCACTTTATAGGAGTACATTTTGAGATTGCTTTTGAAGTTAAAGAATAATATGTAAGTTGAGTAACAGTCTCAGTGGGGCACTTTACTTTTGCTGAATACCTTTATTCACAGATCACAAGCAAAATAAATCAGGATGGAGGAAAAATCAGGACTTAAAAACGGCACTCAATCCCTTTTCAAAGCAGAATTTTTTGAGGATAATTTCATAAATCGGTAACTGCTTTCATTACACATTAAGTGAAACTCATACAAGAACAAATTCATACTTAACAGTTGAACACACGCTATATACAAAAAAAAAAAAAAAAAAATGGAAGTCCATCTGCAGTAGAGTGCCACAAACTATCAACTTCGTGATGTTTTCTGTGCTCGCAATTTCTCCAACAAATTTGTCAGCTCATTATCACTCGCAATTTCTTTGGCCCATGATGGAGCTGGTAGCGTGAACGATGACATCGCCTTTTTGATACTTTCGATTTTATCTGTAATTCATGGTTGCGCGATGAGTACCACCAATCAACGATGTAACTCACTTTATGTGCGTCGGATCATGGAAGAATTTTTTTGTAAGGAGATATCTGTTGTATTTTTCCAGTCTCAAAAAGATTACCTTCAGTTAATTCGATGGGTTTTGGTTTGTCATCAATCTTGAAATCCGAATCCTTCAAATGCACACTGTCTGCCGCGCTTAACGCCTGAAACCACAAGAATTTACAGCACCGAAGCAATCACAACGTTTTCCCACATATATAGTAGTTTTGGTCTTGATGCCATTTACTCTGTTCAAATTGTGAGTGAAATTAAAAAAAAAAAAAAAAAAAAAACGATGAGCAGTTTCCACGAGCCAAAAGCCATTTGATATAGACTGTTGCTTTCTTTCAAATACACCAACAAAACACAGTGGAAAGCAATTCGAAAGTTTGGCCCTGTAACCCTATAATTCGACCTACTTCCCTCCACCCATTAATTTCTAACACTTTCACCGTATTCTAAATAATCCCATATTACCAACCTTCTCACTTACTAGTTACCTTCGCCCTCCTTTTCCTTCCATTAATTTTTCTTATATAAACCCCTTCCGAAGACCCTGGACCCTTGGTTTCGGAATCAATGCGCGCTACTGATCCGCCACGTTTTGCTACGACTAATGCTACTAACTGGCCGCCCCGACACAACTAGCATCCTTCTTTCGCTGACTAGCTTGTGCCATGCCTCGACTCGTTTTTATTGAAGTGAAGCTTTGTTGGAGAATAAAGTGCTGGCTCTCTTCACTGTCTTCCGCTGCTGCACCCAAAGGCCACGTGAGGACCTGATAGACCTAGAGATTTTTTTATTATTTAAACGACTGCTCGTCTGACAGTAGAAAAAGTTAGAAAACGGAAATTGAAAATCAAACAGAAACAACTGTAAGTCTGACAACACCAGCTACTAACTTCTTCAAAATCGCTTTTCGCGGTTGCTGCGCTGACACGAACGTTATCTGTATCGAGCGAGTCATCCGAAGTGGGTAAAGTTTGATAGCCAACATAACGGTCTCGACTGTCATCATCACACGGATCCGATTCTGCTCCACTCATATCTACAGACGTATAAAAGTCAAGCTTAGTTCAGCGCTCAGAATTTTTTATGCTAATCGATCACAGCATACTTTTAGGCTTGCAAACACACATCGACATTTGTGATTGGTATAGCCTCTGGACTTTCCCTCGATTTCTTTATTCTGAAGCCTGAATTAAGCATCTGATGGAACAATCTGGCCCAGTCAGGCGTAAAATTACCCTTTTCAAGCCTTCGATCATCTCAGTTTACATCGCGCATCACGGCAATTTCGGAGGCCCCCGTCTCAAGTAAAAAAAGCCACATGAACATAAAGAATCAGCAGTAGCTAACAATTTTTCTCAAAAATGATCACAAAAAAAAAACACACCACCACTTCCAAATTCGTCTAAGCCAACAACGCCATGCAGCTCAACTTCAGAACTAGCGTCGTGCCAACTTTCGTCATCTTCATGCCAATCTGAAACAATATTTTGGCGTAATAAACAAGCAAAAAAAAAACAATTTGATCAGCGTCTTTTAATTCATCGTATGGTTCTTCAAATATGCAACTGACAACATCTTCCAGCTGCACTGTGATACTAGCTACATCGCCAGTAGGAAATTGACGTTTGACTCATCAACTAAGCAGTTCTTTCGACAGAAGCACTTGATAATGCGTGCCGAGATATTAATGAACCGAAACATTTCTTACCATTATAATAATTTTATTGTAATAATTGTGGTATAATAAAAAAAAAAAAAAAAAATTTATTAAAAATAATTTTACTACTTTCACTAATTTTTTTATTCTTATTTCGGAACTTTCTCTTCGATTCTCCACCCTGTTTCAATATACCCTTCTATCACTGATATATACTGGGTATAACTGTCTCATCTCGAATGTCAGAAGCTGCCTAATCGAGACTAAGAGAGGCAAAGCAAATGCGAATTTGAAATAAATGGATGCATCGCATTGCCCCTAATCGCGGAATGTTTTTAGAATACAGTAAAGCATAACCGCAGTGTACTTCTTACGAAAATCGTTATTTGAAGAAGCTATGTGGAAAAAAGCTGAGATAAGCCGCAAATGTTAGAAGTTTTATAAACGCAAAATACATACCGTCCTCGCCTCTTCCACAGTGTTTCGGTGGATTATGTTCAACTGGACCGGGACCCATGCCAAAGGGTTTAACAACTCAAGCCCGAGCACATTTCCTGCATAAAATTTTAATCCACAATCCCGTACATCTTGTCTATTCAACACGTGACGTTTAGAAAAAAAAACTGCTGCGAAAGCTGCTGCGAAAGCCTCCCAGCTTTTCTGGTCACTGATTTAGCGAATCCCCTGCCAAAACTTTAATAATTTTGTACAGGAGGCTCAGACGTGCGTGAAGGCTCTTACCGTGGTCCTGGGGTGGAACTTAGCCGGGGAATCCACTGGCAAAATTTTGGCGACAAAGCTTGCTTGGTTGTCGAGTTGAAATACTTGAACGCGCATACACAAATACACATATATATACACACACACACATACGCACACTGGGGGCGCCATCATATACGTTTTTGCATTTGCACATATGCAAAAACGCACAAAAATCTAAGTTATTTTTGAGGAGGTCCTGTTATTAGTACCTTAAATTGAGAAGTAAAAGGGACAAGTCATCGCTAGATCTGGTGTGTACTGCAAGGTGCAAAAATTCGGATAAAATACGATATTAGCCGAAGAATGAGCTGCAAAATGTGATGTATGGAAATACTCATAACACTGAGTTGAGCAAAAACCAGCAAATGACAGAATAACAGCACCAGCATTTAATGAATTCATTTATCAGGCACAGTACACTTCACAGCTTCGAAGCAAAAAATAAAAAATAAAAAATAACAATGATGAGGCAATTAAAATCAATCAAAACGAAACATAAGCACCGGGAAACAAATGCATAAATGCGTTTTTGCTTTTTGATTAACAACCATTCACAATCTTACCAAGTCAAGCACGCCAGAAATAAAACTACTTCCACCGTTTTTAATTTAATATCAGCTTGCTACCACAACAATTAAGCAAGGAGGCAAAAGGCTTGGCGAACTCGTAATAAAAAAATTGCAGTTATGGAGCGAGCTATTAGTTCTTTGCAGGTAACCAAACCAGTATGCTTTAGTAAATAGTAAATGGGAATTACATGACCACTTCTTTTTTTAAATTTTTTTTTGTAATCATAGATTGTTTTCCTAATCCCCC